CTGTTGTCATTGAAGCTGTTAGTATTTGCTTTTTATCTTCAAAAATAACATAAAGCCTTTAAATTTTAAAGTTTTGAAAGTGTGATTGTCTATGTTCCATACTTCGCCAATAGTAAATTTATTAGAAAAAAATCCTGATATATAATGTTGGAAATGTGCAGGTGTTGACATGACAGGAAGACAGTCTGGCATTAATACCTGGAGCAAAATTATAATTATTACTGGCCAGCCCTACGTAATGATCTTCTTCTGTTTACACAGGTGGATGGAAAACATAAAAGGAGAGGTTCTATATTTGAAAGGCTTCAAGTTGATATTCAACATCTATGTTTAAGTAAGTTCCTTCTTGGCTTGCATAATTCTGAAATAGAGGCTTAATTTTAGATTTCAAATACTGGAGTTTAAGTCAGTTTAAATGGTTTTGAAGATTATTCTCAGTGGTTGCTTGGACACGTTAATGCTGTGTGTAGATACATATGTACACACATGTATATTAAATGGAGATTTAAAATTTTCTGCTTTTTATACACTTATAGGACATCATTATAGGTGAGAAATACCAAAACAAAAACATTTTGAAGGTTTTTTTAGAACTTGCAGGATTAAACACCTTTACATTTTTTGTTTTAGGTATGCAAAATGAAGCAAGTCCTGCATATCATTGATATGCTATGCATATCAGTACTATAGAATTTGTGGGAATGCCTGTCATCAGGAGATGCATTATTAATGTCATATTTATATTTCATAGGCAGTATAAAAAGGCTGAAATAGTTAAATATGCTTCTCAGCCACAGCATCCGATTCTCTTTTGTTTTAGAAAAAGAAACTTTCCTTTTAATAGCTTATAGCTGTATGTACAGACAACTATACTTTTTGTAGTGGTAAATATTTATTTCTTTACATGTGCTGAAATTATATTATTGAAATAATATATTATCAGAAAAAAATATTGCCCCAACTACAATAATAGATGTTCTGGGGTTGTTGTGGAGTGTGTGTGTGTGTGTGTTTATTTTCTTTGGGTTTTTTCCCATGTAGAGAAGGTACCTGTTCTGGAGAAGAAAAAACTACCAGTGGTAGGAATTGGGAAGCATTTGTGTGGTGCTGCAACAGGTATAAATTATATATGTGTTAACTTGTGGTGGGTTAACCCTAGCTAGATGCCAGGTGCCCACCAAAGCCATTCTATCACTCGCCGCCCCCCCCCCCCACTCCGCTGGACAGGGGAGAGGAAATAAAACAAAGGGCTCATGGGTCGAGATAAGGACAGGGAGAGATCACTCACCAATTACTGTCACGGGCTAAACAGACTCGACTTTGGCAATAAATTAATTTTCCCTGTCAACCAGAGTAGGATAATGAGAAATGAAACCAAATCTTAAAACACCTTCCCTCCACGCCTCCCTTCTTCCCAAGGCACAGCTTCACTCCTGGATTCTCTACCTACCTACCCCCCCCAAAAGCAGTGCAGGGGGATGGGGAATGGGGGTTACGATCAGTTCATCACACATTGTCTCTGCCACTCCTTCCTCCTCAGGGGGAGGACTCCTCACACTCTTCCCCTGCTCCATCGTGGGGTCCCTCCCATGGGATAGAGTCCTCCATGAACTTCTCCAATGTGAGCCCTTCCCACGGGCTGCAGTTCTTCACGAACTGCTCCAGCATGGGTCCTTTCCACGGGTTGCAGTCCTTCAGGAGCACACTGCTCCAGAATGGGTCCCCCCCAGGGTCACAAGTCCTGCCAGAAAACCTGCTCCAGCATGGGATCCTCTCTCCACAGATCCACAGGTCCTGCCAGGAGCCTGCTCCAGCGCAGGCTTCCCATGGGGTCACAGCCTCCTTCGGGCACCCGCTTATTCTGGCGTGGGGTCTTCTATGGGCTGCAGGTGGATATCTGCTCCACAGTGGACCTGCATGGACTGTAGGGGAACAACCCATCTCACCATGGTCTTCACCATGGGCCGCAGAGGAATCTCTGCTCTGGTGCACCTCCTCCCCCTCCTTCTTCACTGACCTTGGTGTCTGCAGGGTTGTTCCTGTTACCTGTTCTCAGTCCTTTCCCTGGCTGCTGTTTCTGTGTCCACTGCAACTTTTTTTTTACCTTCTTAAATATGTTATCACAGAGGCGCTACCACTATTGCTGATTGGCTCAGCCTTGGCCGGCAGCGGGTCTATCTCAGAGCCGGCTGGCATTGGCTCTGTCGGACACAGAGGAACTTCCAGCAGCTTCTCACAGAACCCACCCCTGTAACCCCCCGCTACCAAAACCTTGCCACGCAAAACCAATACATAACTGCAGAAAGTTAGGATACTAAATCTTACAGTCTGAATGGACTGATCTTCCAAACTGTCCTTTTAAGCTTTTCTTGCCCTCTAACCCTTTGTTGGTGAATGTAGCAATTACATTCTAAATATCTACTGACTTCTTCAGTGGAATAGTAAATGGATAATAGGTGCAAGCCTACTTTAGACAGAAGTAAAACCTTTCTTGTTTTTTATAGAGTAGAACAAAGAATAGTGTATGGTGGCATGGGTCATGAATTTGTAGTGGTTTGGGTTTTTTTAACACCATTGCCTCTACTCTGAAATATTTTTCTTTCTAAATTTGTATTAGCTATCTGAATATGCATCCCAAGCAAACAAGAGACTAATGTGTTTCTGTCCTGATAATTTTAAACTAATACACTCTTTAATCTCAAATATGACACCTATATAGGTACTGTTACAAAGATGACACAGTTAAGCATTTAGGAAGTACATCTACATATTAAATAGATTGCGTCCTAGATATTAAACTTTTAGAGCAAATACTTGCATGTTTTACTGGGAGTAGATCCTCCTACAATACACCAGTTTGTTAACAAAAGTATTTCAGATTCACTTGTGTAGAACAAATATTCAAGAGGATAAGCCCTTGGTAGCTCCAGAGGTCTCATAATACTCATCTAGCACTTAGGGTTTTCATGTTTTCAAAGCATGCTTGTAATTTCTAGTTATCCTTAAAATTGCTTTTTGTCTTAGTTTGCGCTATATACTTTTATTCTTCTTTGTGGGAAGTACATTCCCAACCACAGCAGAGCCTGTATAAATAATGGCATGGTGTTCATCACTAATTTTTGGGGGGTATATCTGTTTTTTCCCAGATCTTGCTTTGAGATGTTTGGTTGAGAGTTATACAGCTTGCTGTGATGGAGAAAATGAGCAGCCTGCACCAAAACGCTCTAGGACTGATATGACAGAGGTGGCTTCTAATAATTCTGCTGATAACGAAGGCAACAAAGAATACTGTAAGCCTGTAGCTGGAATTGTTATTGCACTGTGTTGCCATCACAAGTGTGACTGGACACACTATGTAGGCAGAGAGTTCTTTAAATCAGTAGGACTTGGACCAGTAGAATTTCATTATTTTCAGAGAATGAGTAGCTGGGCCACTTGTGGCCTGCGAGAAACCACAACCAAAGCCTCTACAAGTGAAGAAAGTGAAGATCAAACTAATGACACAGAAGAACATGAGCAAACATTCAGCAAGACAGAGAGCGGTTCTGATACTTTACAAGGGTATGTAAATTTTTTTCTAGCAAACAGACTCCTGCAGAAAAGCAAAATTATGTATAGTGGTATATGAAATTGTTTTGAGTTGTCAGAATTACTCATTTTACAGAAATGTTTTAATTACTAAATTTATAGAAATATTCTACTTTAAAAATACAATTTTCATGGACATATGTTTAAAAGTTTTTAAACAGTCATGCTTGCTTGAATTGAAATGAACTTAGTGATTTCAGTAGTTTTTCTAAGCTTAACTACTAATGTTAGTTAGCAAAACTGTTCTGACACATGTTGTTCATTCTTTTCCTCCTTTTTATGGAACTAGGATACTTACTGTTGAAGAACGAAAGGAGATAGGTTGCCTCTGTAAACTGCTGATTGATCATGGACGGATTGAATATTTACAACAACGAGGATACAAGGCTGTGCTACAGTATTATATAGAGTCTGCTGTGTCCTTGGAGAATGTCCTGTTGACAGCTGTCCCAAGTCCATCTTTGATACCAGAGCCAACTCATGTATGACAGGAGATAGATTTGGAATTGGTAGGAAAAAAAAACAAAACAAAACTATAAAACTTATCTGGATTTTCTTTAAAAAGCTAATTCTTTGCTTAGAAAAAAACTGTTTTAGTCTTCCCTGTACCCAGGAAAAGGTCTTTTATTTCCCAGTTTCACTGGGAATTACAAATATGCAAACCAGTTCTCATGAGTGGAAAAATAAAATCCCTAAGAATATTTGAAACCTGTTGTATGCTTCTTTGCTAGGAAGAAGTGTACTTGATATTTTCTTCCATTCACAGTTACATTCTTTATTCATTAGCATTCATGATAGAAGGACCAGAAGTACAGCTTTGCAGATTTCCTGAAAGACAGTGGGTTAAAATAAGAGCGATTAACGTACTTTATTTTCACTTTGAAGTTCAAGGTAGCTTTGTATTTCCTCTTAAATTATTTAAGTAGGCCTAGGTACTTTTTCTCAGCCCATGCTGCTAGGGGAATCTGTTAAGGAATAAAACTTATTTGTAAACTGTCATCTTGATATATTTTTGCTAATTTGATCATTCATTCATGAAATCTTGATAAGAAAAAAGCTGGCTTAGCGTTCTAAATCAAGAGCATTTCAGTCATTTTTTTTTTTTAAGCCTTGACAGTATATAGAATGAAGATCAGAGAGAACATTTCATATCTGCAATGAAGTTGTCTCCACAAGTAGCAGCTGCCACCTGCACATCTGTTCAGAAGTGCTTATTTTGGTCTCACTGCAACCTTTAAGCTGTTACTTTTGAGAGTACTAACAGCATTTGTTTTTGTCATAGTGATTTAGAAATGGAATGAAATTGTGGGGATGTTTTGTTTAAGTGACTGGATTTTTTGTCAGGAAAAACAAGTTATGAGAAACATCTGTTTATCAGATGTTGATACTTCATTGCTAAAAAATGTTAGGCATCTCTCCCTTACATCCTTCTTTGGTAGTCCCCATCTGGACAACATCCAAAAACAGGGAAAGTTGAGCTTCATGAGACAAACAGTGCTGGAAGACCCACACTATGTAAACTCTGATTAAATTGCAAATACAAGAGACAGTCATCAGCTTCCAGTTACCTACAGCCTGGATAACTCAGGCTTTATTCCAATATTCCATGGTTCCAGTATGTTTCTAGTAGAATATATGCTGTTCATGTGAAGACCAACTCCTGATATAAGCACCTCTGCCCTCGGTAAAAATCTGTTTACAGATTTTTGGAAAATGTTACTCATTTATTAAGAAGATTATTCATGTTTCATTTGCATATGTATCCTAGCTTTCTTTTATCCAGTTTATCCTTCCCTTCCTCACTCTATTCCAGAGAGATTAGAATTAATAAAAAAGCCATACCTGTTTTCTTGAGTGACTCCTGGATATACATGTGCATGAATTCGATGCCAAACATTTCCTGTTGCTCCTCTTCTTCTGTATTCTTGCATGGAGGGAGTGTTACCTCTAACTCCAGTGGGTTATCTCTGAAGTTGACAAATCTGACAATTCACCAGAAAAGGTTACTCTTGCAATAGGTTTTGTCCAGAGAGAACAACTCTTTTTTGAAACTGAATTAAGATTCCTCAAACAGTATTTTGAGCAAAATAAAATAAGTCTTTTCTTTTACTAAACTCACCACTATATTAGTAGCATGAAGTAAACTAAGCTCAGAAGATGCCTTATAGTAATAGTAGCTTATTGTGGTGGGAGAAAACATTGCAGTCCTCATAATTTTGTCTTTAGGTTTTAAGCCTTATTATATCACAAGCAGATGAGCGGATAAGAACTAGAGTGCAAATGCCTGCATCTTCCCAGCTTTGCAAGGTAATAGCTAGCCCTGTCTCCTGTTCTTCATTCATCCCTGGGCCTATGGTTGTATATACTTGTTTAAAGAGGTGCTGCTTCTTTCAAAACATCTGAAAACAGGAATTGTCTTACTGGGTTAGATGTGATTTATTTAGACTAGCATTCTTTCTCTAAAATGGCCAGCATCCAGTAATTCAAGTGAAAATGCAAACAACAGGAAAGTTTCTGTCACAATATACAAAATAATATTTCCAATTCTACCAATTAAAAATTTACATTCATTCTTTTTTATTTTTCAAATCAAGTACAGGAGAGTTTCATCCTTATACCTAATCCTTTTTGTTTAATCCCGAATGCTTGACTTCTCATTGCCAAAGTTCTACTTTTTTGTCATTTTTATGCTTGTCACATATTTTTCCTCCTAGCTCTTGGCTTTAGAGAGTGATACAAAAGGCCAGTTAGAAGTGGGCATTTGGACTTTTTGAAAATGAGAAAATGTATTACAGTCTCCTTTTTCATTTGGGACTGTAACTATCATAGCTTACTTCTTTAAATGAGTTGTGCTACACAAAGCTTTCTTGACCAGATCCCCAACTGTTGTGAATCTGTGTAATTACGCTGATTTATATGGTACTGTGTCCATCTGTACAACTGTGGACATGTCTTCTCTTTTCCACTTCCTTAGTATCATTCTATGATATACAACTCAAGGGAGGCTTTAAAACTTATCTTCTAGTATTTTTATTTATAATTTCTGTTGATTTTTCTTACCTCAGATTTGTCATGTCCTTCATACAAGTTGGAATATCCTTAAGTTTGTTGTTGCTAAGAACAAGAGTACTAAGATTTTTCATATTGCTAATAGTTTCTGGCAAAGAGTTTATCTCATTCCTTTGGAGCCATAAAGTGTGGAGATTTTCCATTCTGTAAAATAGGTATTTGCACAATCAATTCAAGATTTAGAAAATTAATCTTATCAATCATTAATATAAAGTAATTGATTAATTTTTACAGCCACATAAAGGACTGTCATAAAGAATACAACAATACTCAAAGGAAACCCCATATCCATGATGATCACCTAACCTTTGGTTGAAAATGTCATTGGCAAGAAATACTTGATAGTCGATACTGAATTTATTGTTTGTTGTTTATTGAATGGATTATTTCAGCTCGTCCAAAATATCACATTAGAGCTGATAACTCTTAAGTAAGTTTGTAGTGAGGTTAACATTAAAATAATCTTTTTAAGTAGGATTTAATAATTAGAATTTCAATGCAGTGGAATTGAAACTGTGAGCTTTAATCCTCATTTACCTGTCAATTGCATCAGGAAGCTCCTGGAGTTTATTTCCCCCCATATCTAACCATTCTAGATTTGGCATATTGAGAAGAGCTGAAGGGATGGTAGTAAACTGATTCATGCACAAATCTATGTGTGAAAGCTTCTTCAAATCACTGAGCTGAAAAGAAAGGGAGATTTAATGCAAGTTTGTATAGCTGTTCCATTACACCAGTGCTGTAATAATGTTGACTGAAAAAAAAGAAACCATTTAAAAACACTACAACATATTCCAGAGTTAATAAACACAGAATAGTTTCTGAGTTACATTAGCTGATATTACCTAACAATTACAGTTCTCCCCTGAAAGGTAGGTAGGTTTGAAAATGATCAGGCAGAAGAACTTTATCTCCCACCTGGTAGTAAGTGCCCTTAACTGCTGAGAAGTTAAATGCCATGACTACAATACAGATATACCCCAAGCCTTGAGAAGAAAAGGAATTTTAAAGACACCACTGTCCTTAGTATTTCATACTCCATGCAATATGCCATTTTTCATTAGTCAAAATTTAGATTTTTATGGATCACATTGCATAGACTGTATCTTATCGAGTGAACCTAGACACCTTCCATGTCGTGAAGTCTATGACTATGGCAAGATATTCTAAAAATTAAACATAGCATCACTCAGTATTGCAACATCTAAGTCCTTTGATAAATCATGCCTGCAGGTGCTTTTACAATGTTCAAGTGATGCAAAGATGATTTATTGCAAATCTGGTCCAATGTCTAAACGCTGAATGCCACTCAAGTACACATAACCAAAGCTTCACGGTGTTCACTTCACCATAGTCTCAATAGGACAGAACTATGTATTTGCTATGACCTGTTAATTTAAAAGCTATTACTCTGCATTACACCATGTAACCTGTATCCACATAGATTTTATAAATTCTGGATTCTGATTAATACCATATATTTTCATTTGAAGATCTGTTGTTAGGTATCACTCTTTGGACTCACTTAATTTTGCAAGGCACTGATTGCTGTCATTATTGCCACTACGGTTTTTTTTAAATAGATTATAACAAGTAAATATGGTTACATACTTGTCATCTCTATCTAAGAGACTAATAGTTAGAGATGCAGGTCTCTTTCATGTTTGGGTCAGTCCAAATTAAAGCTCAATAGTAGGTGAGCAGTTGTTTTTATTCTCTCTTAATTGCTTTCAACAGCTCAGAACATTCATTCAACTCGGTGCAGAGGCAGTTGTATAAATCACACAAATGCTTTTCATAGCTAGCAGCTCTGGTAAAGATGCTTACAGTTGTGTCCTGGTACATGGTATGAATTTGTATTCTCAACTATAAAAGGAAACTTCTCTGCTAAGGTGTCAGATCCTCAGTGGGGTAAATCAGTGAAGACCTTCAGCCTAAACAAATTAACATCAAGTGTATCACTGTCCTGTATGCACCACCAAGTCATTTATCTGAACAAAATAAAGATTGTCTCCTTCAACTACTCAGGTATATGTATGTCCTTCTCATGTGGCTGCAGTTTGACTAGTCATATAAATATTGTTCACATATGTGTTTCTGTGGAGTAGTTGTGAAATCAGAATATCAAAGCAAATCTGAAAACATGGAGTGCAACACTTAATGATAATTGGGCTTGGATAAATTGAAAATATGCATTAAACAAAACAAAACAGTCTGTCAAAACCTGAGGAGGAAGATCACAGATACTCCTGTTGACAGCCAGTTCCAATTTTTCCAGACTGACACAGTTACTTATTTCCTTAGGAACAAACTTTATTCTATTGTAACTGAGAAGCAGCTCTTGGAGGCTAGTCAGCTGGCCTGCAGAGAGCACAAATGAGAAAGGATAAGTGTTCACGTTCATTGTACTGGCAATACATTACTTGTTTTGTGTTATCCTTATACTGTTATGCAAGTGCTCTGTGTTCTCACTAAAAAAAAAAAAAAAAAAAAAATTCACTGAAATTCAAATAGTAGGACTTAGGATTCTTTAGTACAGAACTGCACTCTAGCTGAGTGCTACAAAAAAACTCCAAAAACTCAAAAAAACCCCAACTTATGAACATAGGCTACTCATGCTGTGGACTGAGAAAATGAAGCATGTTTTTCAATATCACTTTTCTAGCTGCATTCTGTTGTCTAGTATCTGCTGTGCTTACAAGCTTTTTTCTCATGGGGAGCTTTCATAAAGATACATCTGCTCCATCTGCCCATTTTTAAAAATTTATAGGGAATCCATAGTTTTAAGATCTCTATCTCACTGACAGATTTAAATTGTCTGTTTGCTAACTACCCAATATGATTGTTAGACAGGCAAAGTGCACAAAAATGTCATGTTTGTGTAAGATTAATTTTCTTTGAAAAGCAGCTTAAAATAAAAGAAAGCACAGCTCACCGATTTCTTTAGGTATGCTTTCAATTGAGTTCCGGGACAGATCCAGAACAACAAGATTGTGAAATCTTCCAATGAACTGAGGAATTTTCTGCAAACCAGTTCTATGAAGCTGCCATTCCTGGAGATGGACTAGTTTCAATAAGCACGAAGGTAGTATCTGAGACAAGAAATATAAACCAGAAGAAATTCAGCTTAGTATACAACAAGAATACAGGCTTAGGTAGAAGTTTTATTTGAAACAGTAACAGTCTTATGACTAAAAAAAAGAGGAAAAAAAAAAAGAAAACTTTCCTTCTTCTTAAGCTATACTGTAACATCCTGAAATGAACATCATCAATGTGGGTCATTCTGACCACAGATTTAACCTACCCACTTTTTGCTCCCAGGATTTAGATACCTGCACTACTGTAACTGCTTAAAAAGCCTCAGGCTTGCTTGCTTTTGTTTGCTGCCTTTTTTTAAAACAAACCCAATATAACTGAAGATGAAACTGGTCTAAATAGCTTTTTGCATTTAAATGCTGATCTAAATTGTATTTCCTAATCTGTTAAGAAAAACAGTGAGTAGTTGAGAGCAGAAGAGCTGAGGGATAGTAAAACTACAGTGTCTGTATGCCTTGAGTTCTGAACAAGCAACACTGGCGTATGGACCACCAGAGTATTCTGGCTGTGGCTGTCACTCTCTCACTGGCCTCAACATGGTCTAATTCTCATCACTTCATAGGAACTGGCATCTGCATTTCTGTGTGGCTCAGAACAGACAGCTTCCACTCTGTCATTGATTCTACAGTTAGCTGCTTCTCCCCCATGCATTAGAAACAAGAATAGTATTCAGGGAATCTACTGGCTCATTTTCACTCTTAGAAAGTAAGCAGCAGAGAGAAATATTTTCATACACCTAAACACAGAGGGTTTTCACCTTGATACATTTCAGTAGTTCTGGTGTGTTAATGTTAAATGACAATTTATGTAATTAAACTCATAATTTGCAGTGTAAATAATTTCTAATGCAGAAAAGCCTTTTGGGCTATGTTCTTGCACAGTAGTGCTTAAAATTCAGGACTAAAAAAGTCAGCTTGCTTTTACACGCTCACAACAGTGTGTCTCAATTCATTGTTAGCAAAGCACACAGTAAGCACTTCAGGGATTAAAAATAGTACAACTGCGAGTGCAAAGTTGTAAATAGTAGTTTTCTAATACACCAGTCATTCAACCTAAGCAACATTCATTCCTATCAACACTACCTTCCATTCTTCTTCCTCTATCCTTAAAATTGCTCTTCCATCTTCATTAATGACTTTTTCTTTGAGCTTTGCTAAAGTGGCTCTTTCCTCCCAGACAAGTAGTAGCCTACAAGCGAAAGAAGATCTGTCAGTGGTGCAACCATGAATACAGGCAATAATTACTATCCATTGTATTTTCTGGAATAAAGAGACAGTAGCCTTTTTAGATGTCAAACTATTTATTATATCTGGATGCTAAGTATACTATCAATTTGAGTGAAGACTAGAACATAAAGTAAAGTTTGGCTGAGGTAATTTATAGGAATTCTATTTTACAGTTCTTCAAATTTACAGTCAGAAGGAAGACACAACTTCATTCACTTTCATCATGTTGCAGCAGGGCAACAGAAAGTCATGTGGAATTAAGTTCCAAAGCCATTAATTTTGAAGCAGTCTCCTAAAAAGAAAGCCTTCACTTCCACGAAGTGTAAGTGCAATCAAACAAGGTCAATCAGCTAGGGTTTCTTTCAGCTTGATTTCCAAAGGGGACTTGAATGAGCATTATGAAAGTTAGGCTAATTCTCTTTCTTCCTGCTTCTATTTTCCATTAGTAACTTTTGAATTTGTTATTCCATTTCAAACACATCTGACAAATTAGGAAGAGTTCCAAAAATAGAATGCTAAATCTCTTCACATTTCATGAAATTGCTGGCCAGATAGAAGACCAAGTGACCCTGTTAATGCCTCCATTGAGAAGAAAGCATAACAAATTAAATCTCCCTTGGTTAAAATATCCACACAGGAGAGGATTTTAATATCTGAATTTAGGGGCTTTAGTATATATGCTAATATTTTTATCGCAGAACACAATTCTTGGTTTGACCTGACCATATTGATACATTCTAACCAGTGGGAATTCTTCTGGAGTAACGACTGGAGAACTAGACTCTGGATGAGTTTGAAAAGACCAATTGTAGTCTTCTGAAATGTAACATATGGTCTAGCTTTTCACATACTTAAAAATCTACAGTTTACCTACCTTCCCGCAGACCTCTGTCTGAATTCCTTTTCTTTCTGTAATTCTTCATTTATCTTGTGTATTCTCACTTCCCAAAGTGTCTTCACAGCAGTGAATGTTCCAATGCAAACTGCAGTTTCAGTCATGATCCTTACATGTTCAGATTCAGTCACAGGAATCAGACTGTGAATTTCAGGCTCAATGCATCGGCACATGCATCAGCTACCAGATGGGGACAGTGACGTGAAAACTAAAATACTGCAATACCCACTTGATTATATTATTAAATTTAGTTTAGGTGTAGAACTGACAGAATTTTACCAACTGCTTTCTTTTTATGAAAACAGGTAATTGCACCTAGTTAAATTTTCTTATAATAAGAAGTGGTATTCTTGCAACCTCTCTGCATTCTTAGTGAACAACTGCTTCCCTCAGATCCTTCCAATGGTAGGCTAAGTACTGACCAGATTTATTAAATGCAGATATGAGCATTCATTCCCTTCCCAGGAATAAATTAAGCTGTTACTTGCAATTTAAGGCAGTTAAATCCTGGTAGTTGCATCCTGGCAGCTACCTGGTATAAAAACTTGTAACTAAAGGAGTTTTGCACTTTAGAGAAACTGAACTGTTGCTGGAAATAAATTGGTATACTTTATTTGCATTCATCTTCTTCACAGTTTATCTCATTATAATATATTTTACAGTTAGTAATGCATTACCTTTAAGAAAAAGCTTTCTAACTTCAGATCTCCCTTTGAATCTTCTTGTAGCCCTGCTGAGGGTCAGGATCCACATTAAAAAAAAAAAATTAAAAATTCAGCCTAAAGTTTTGAAGTCATCTATTCCTTGGTGAGATAATACATATTTTCCTGAAAAGCAGCAAAGTAGGATGGATACTCAGTCATCCTAATCAGTGCATCCCTCTAAAAAGCATTCTTCTTGCCATCGTTGTAGTCATTTGGGAAAGGTTTTTTTGGAAATAAACTGGAGCCAAGATACTGATATTAAGATAAGCTTGGAGGGCTTAACTTCATGGCAGCAGCAGTGTACTCTGATGATCCCTTTCAAACTTTTACTCATACTTGCAGGGATGAGTAAGAAAAATGTCTTATATAGCCATTCAAACCAAAAAAGGGAGGATAACTTTCTTCCAAACAAGCAGGTAGATAACAACAAAAGTGGAATTTCAGATCTTTTCATACATTTATTTCCCTACAGTAATTGCTGCAGGTCTGTCTTTTAGAGCAATCTTTTCTATCATATTTATTCTATTATAATATTGTGTGGCATGGATAAGTCACAATTGCTTAGTGAACATTTTTGTGTTCAAACTGTCAATCATTCTATTTTATGTTTACCATGTCTTTTGCCAACATAGTTATTTGAAAAGCCTGACAATACTGAAATCACTTAATAAAAAATATATAGGCAAATAGTAAGAAATGTAAATTGTCAGGATTGCTTCCTGTTGTAAAGACAGCATAAAAATCAAATTATAATGCTTGAATAAAGAAGAATCTAGTCCAATACATTAATGTTAAGGATTCTTGACTGTTCTGGTTTTTAAGGAAAAATGGCAGGATTTGACAGGTGATGCAAATGGCAACCACAGTGCGGCACAATGCAGTCTGGCATTTGGGTTCCTAAAGAGGGACTGAATTTCTTCCTGTAAAGAGAGGATTGTATCCTCTTCCCCCACTCCCCATAAATGTGATCACAGTTACTAGTTTGAAGGATTAACTTCTCTTTCAGTGGTCTTTGAAGTAATTACCTTTCCCATTCCTCATTCAAATATACAACAGTAATGACTAAGACATGAGGTTTTTTCCTCTGATTAGTGGTTACAATTTAAACTGCCTTATTTTTCTGGATTGAGCATCTACTGTGATTAAGTGATTTACCTGATCTATCATTTCTTGCTCTTTTGAGATCTTTTGAACTATAAGCCTTTTTGGGTAGAAAACTAGTAATCTTTTTATATAAATTGTGCAGAAAAGAGACATTTGTTAATACTTGTACTACTAAAACCAGTATCGGACTATACAGTCGAAACAATACTTATTTTTAGTAAAGCTTACAGAACTACCATCAAAAGCTTCTTGTTCTTAGATCTTATTGTCAGCAGAATAAAAAACATAATAATCATGCCATCACAGCCAAGAATTCAGAAGTGAATTGCCAAGCGTGGCTGTAAAACAACTGCAAATTTACTCCCAAGTAATCAGATCTCCTAGCAACTTCACCTCCAAGTATCTGAAAGACTACAACAACAACTTACCTCAATTATTTGGCATTTTCAAGGATTTTCTGTGACTCATTGCTTTCTGCGCAACAGCAGAGATAAATTATGAAGCTTGTCTGCACTACCAAAACCATTTAGAACTCTCACCCAGACTCCAATGCAATGTCAGTCTAGTTCTAATTTTAACCTATGCTGAGAATAGAAGGTATCACATGAGGCACTTCTGCAAAACCCCCAAGCATTCACCACTCTTAATGTCTTCCCAGTTTGCTGAACATGACTGGACTCCCATAAACTCCCAGATTCATATTAACAAAAGTTACAAATTGTGAACAAAAAGAACAAAGGAGTACTTGTTATGCTCCACAATGAAAAATGAGCTAGTTTTGAATTCAAAATGACAATTACTTGCTTTACTCTAGTAATGTTTCTCTGCAAGATAACTGAGCTTCAAAGTGCTATTAAACAGCAACATTGACTAATTATACTAGAAAAAGTATTACATCACTAAGTATGTTACTCATTACTTTTTGTCCATGCTGAAAAATTCTTGTTGAAGAATTTTAGTGTAAATTATCGAAGTCCAGAAAGAAAAGTAATCTTTATCAGGATGTGCAGAGGGGTTATTACTCACCCCTTTTCAGCTTCCAATTTAACACTCTATTTCTTCAAAGAGCCCTTGGAGAAGATAAAAGGAGAACAACTCTGTCAGAATTTTTTCTTCAACCAAACGGAAAGAGGCAGAGAGCAACAACTGCAGGTCACTATTTGAGATAGAAGCCATAAAACTGGATAACTCTAACCAATTCTTGCACTGGAATATAAAATGTGAAGATGAAATTTTAAAAATAGCATTCATTTGGTTATAACCCTCTTTCAGGGGAAATAATTTTTCCTATTAGCCTTGGATTCTAGCATTACGACATAGAACTTTATAACCAAAAAACCCTTCTCTAGTCCATGACCAACTAAAAACCTGAACACTGATACCTTTTTAAAGACATTAACTGCTTAACTTTCAATCTTCTAAGCTGTTTGTTTAAGTTATGCAAAAGCAAAAATAATCCAAAGGGTTCTTTGGTATTTCTTCTTTCAGTTCTGGTATTGATTCCATCCCCACAGTGTTTTTTAATCAATGTTTTTTCTTGATCTAAAAAAGTCGTAACTGAAAACCTAATCGCTACTTAATTTTCTCCTCCTTAAAAGAGACAGGTAAGTAGAGCTAGGAAAAAAACCCAGCTTTCCCTTTTATTGGAGTTTTGAGACACAAAAAAATTTCAGGCACCTTGTGTGAGCAAAATTATTCTGTCTCAAATACTTAAAAAATCACTTTATTGCTTTCTATCATACACTTACATTTCCTGAATTTATTTTCTTCATGGTCATCAGATTAAAAAATATACTATTTAGACTAAGCCCTTACCACAACAATATACTTGTAGGAAAGTAGCCATTAGGCTGTGTTCTTCTGGTAGTCTTGAGTGCAGTAGGTTCTTTAAGATAAGAAGAAATAGAAGTTTGAGTCACCTATACAGGATTGCCTGCATAAAATTCACAAATAAAAACAATATTACTGCAGTTCTTTGTGGCTTTAATTTTTTTTATTAGGAATAAATAAATCTGATAAAAATGAAATAAGCGATAAGCACGATATATTACTCAAACTTTGCAAAAAATGACCTATATATAAAAGACCCTTATACCACAATAGAAATATAAATAGCACCTTAAATGTATGCTCCCATGCTCCCTCCCCTATATTACCAGCTTTCCTCTTGCTCAGTCTCAGCATCAAGGATAGCAGAGACTACCTCTGGTAGCTTGTGTCTTCCATCTTCACAGCTAAATGCAATAGACAACTTTGGTCTACAAATTTTGGAGAATGCTCCTGTAGAAGCAGTTTTTGATATATCTAAAGAAAGGAGAAAATGTCCATTTTGTGCCTCACAAATTGATTCTTACAGCCATGTAACTGTCTTTCTTGTGTCTATTTGCAACTTATGTTTCTAGAAGGTATTTATATGCAACGGTTTTCTTCATATCTCCTGTTAAATAACCACTGCAATCCTCATCTGTTTAGTTTACCTTAAAGCCACATAACTGTTGTCTGTTCTGAAGGCATTAACTTGAACCTATTCATTATGTGCCTTGTATCTGAGTTTAAAAAGTCCTTATCTCACATAGTATTTTTTTAATGTTAATTCTTTGTTGTATCTGATTCATCTGTCAAATTCTAGTATCTGAACATCAATAATACAATGCAAGCTTTTAGAACACGTTCTGCTTACTGTCAGGCTTACCTGATGACAGAATAACAAATGAGATACTCTTTTTTTTTTTTTTTTTAACCAGACAGATGCTTTCTATAAGAAACAAAAATAACTGGAAAGTATTTAAGGACTGCAACTACTTCCAGCGTATCAAAGTACAGGATATTCTAGAGAGTATTAAGGCCCTGATAGTTATCAGTAAAATGTTACCAGTAAGCATCTGAATAAATACGGCCTCTTCATTTATAATTTTATAAAGAGTACCTGTGCAAGTAATTGCCAGGAAAAAGTGGACTAGCAAAAGACTTGAGAGGTTCACTCAGTTAAATAACAAAAAGCTCTCTGGACATCTTACAGCAGAAGCATAAAAGGCATTTTATTTGTATATGATTTTTGCATAACTTCTTTTGGGAATTTGGATATTATTTGTTAAAATAAATTTACGTGTTCAACAAGAAAGAACTATGAGTATTTCCCTTCAAAACAGGTTAATCAGGTTATAAATACTGCAGATGTAGATCAGTGTCATTCAGTCACACCAGCCTCACAGTCATATGCATTATAAAAGGAAAAATACATTCCATCACCATATTCAGAAGTTGTACCATGACCTATTAAGTTTGACAGTCAGCTG